GGGCTCTGCTATCCGCTGAAAGCCATGCTTTACACAGGGAGCTGATTTTAGGTTTGTTTTATTTTTAGAGACTATGGTGGGCTGAGGCTTGGAAAGCACAGATCACAGAGTTGTCGCCCATTGTTTGGGACACTAGTTCTGCCACTGACCATGTCCTTTCTCCTGGGCCAAATGCAGAGGTGGAACTCTTGTGTCTCTTCGCAGTGAGTGTCCCCTACCATTAGAAACATGAAAGACAGTCAAAGTAAATACCCCTTTCTTCTGTTCAAAGTCTCTCCTTTCCTTTTTTCTGCCTGAAGCGTTTCCACAGGGCCAATGCACTTTTTCTCCGTTGTCTCTTGCACTAAAGCAGCCAGTGTCCCCAAAAGTCAATTATGGAGGGAACAACTCACACAGCAATGACAAGGAAGCAAAATCATGTAAGGCCTCACAGGCTCTGGGCAGACTGACACATTGCTATGCACAGGAAAGCAAGGGCAGGAATAACTTTTTTTATTTCAAAAGACAAAGATTAGCGTGTGGAGAAAACTAAGGCGGGGGCTTCCCTTCAGGCTAGAAAGACTGGAACTGGCTTTTAAATTGGAGAGTTTGTTGTTTTTCTTTTTTGCAAAGGAGTATAAATATTTGGTTTATTATTCATATGTAAACACATTTTAGGTGTGGTCCTTAAATCCTGAGATGTAATAAAAAATAAATCAGTGATGTTTGCTCTGTCTCAAATGTTCTCAGATAAGATCACTTGCCAAGCAGAAAATGAGGTAGGAACACAGGTGTGCACAGTATTAAAGTCACTTAAGAGGCTCTCCATTTCCACAGATGGCAAAGCCATCTAAAGGGGGAGTTCAGGTGCTCAAATAATTTAAATAAATTGTACACAAAATGAAAGGCAAGAAGGCAGCAGTATTGTTAGCATAGGCTATCAAATCGCCTCTCAGCTAGCCTCTATTCCTCCTTCCTAGTCTCCCTCATTGACCAGTGTCAACATAGCAGCCAGAGGTCTCTCCTCAAGGTTCCCTTGACAGCTCCCCAGATCACTCAAAGTAAAATTCTGCGATGCCCCAAAGCCCTACAACACCCTAGCTCCCCAGGTTCCAAATCACCCATCTCCTGCTCTCTCTGGCACGGAGCTGCAGCTCCATTGGCTCCCTGGCTCTTCCTGGGGAGGTCCACTCAGGACCTCCACATCTCTTAGTTCTGCCATCTATATAACTGCAGAGCTCTTCCCCTAATCATCGATCCTAGTTAGCATTAACTGTCAACTTGACCCAGCCTAGAATCACCTGAAACTGTCTTTATCATGTTGGTCTATGAGTATGTCTATGAGGGATTGTCTGAATTATTAATTGATGTAGGAAGGCCGAGCCCACTATGGGCAGGTGCCATTCCCTGGGCAAGTCAACCTTTGCTGTATAAGAAAACTAACTAGATAAGGATGGGCCTGTGAGTAATACAGAGAGTGGGCCAGGAAACAATGTACCTCCATGGTTTTTATCTTGATTTCCTGTCCCGACTTTCCTTAGTGATCTTGAAGTGTAAGCCAAATAAATCCTTTCCTGACCAAGGTTGCTTTTGGTCAGAGTATTTTTTTATCACAGAAACAGAGAGGAAACTAGGACAGAAATTGGAACCAGAAGTGGGTTGTAACTGGGAGAGACCCGACCATGTGGCTTTTTATGCCTTTGGACTTTCTTGTTGGAAAATTATGGCAGACTTTGGAACTGAAAGAGGCAGAAAGAGCGCTCAGAGCTTAATGAACTGTTCTGAAGGATAATGCTGAGGGGAACGTGGACTGTGGCAGCCTGGCTTGTGAGTTTTAGAAGACAGCAAGGACTTAATAACTGGACTAGTGGCCATTCATGTGAGACTGCATGTGGGAACATGTGGTTGCTGATCATACTGGGGCTGAAGAAGCAACTGTGGTTAATAAGAGATAAGCATCATTGAGATGAAATCTTCTAGGAATATTTCCTCAGGGTCAGCACACAGAAGCTGCAGTCCAGGGCCGGGGGGGGGTCCAAGGTTACCAGGGGGTCTCAAGATGGTAGCTGAACTTAGCAATGTGTAATGGTTACACACTTGATACTGGTTTTGAAGGCATGGGAGATGCAAGACTGAACGAATCATAGAGAGTAGCTGCCCCCTGTACCATGTGGCAGAGGCAGAGTCCCCAACTCTCAAGGAGGTCAGGAGAAATCATGGGTGAAGGTGCAGCCTCAGTTGCAGTGGAGACCTCAGGATATTGGAGATGCCAGGACAATAGGATATTTGCCAAGAAGAGTGGCAGGTATGGAGTGGGGCTGGACTGAGCCTGTGAGGCAGAGCCTGAGATGTGGGGCTGCCCAAGCCCTTTGGGGTCCATAAAATCATGAGTGAGTCCCAGATTTCAGACACTGACCTGCAGGATTTGGATGCATGGCTGAATTTTGGGTTGGCTTTGATATGATTGCTTTTATGCCCCAGTTCTTCCCTTTTGGAAAAAGAAAGTATATAACTTGTTTCTGATTTGGCAGGAGCCCACCACAGTTAAGAGACTTTGAACTTTTATAGAGAGACTGAATTTTTAAAGAATGTAGGATTCTTTTTAAGTTGCACTGTATGTTATATTATGATATTAATATGAGATCTTGGGGACAAGAAAGGAAGGTTATGGTTTAACAGTGATGAGTTTGTGTGTTAGGTTGACAAGGGTGGAGTGTTCTGCTTAGGCTAAATTGCCAATTTGACAATTTAAGAATTTTCCAGATCAGGTTGGCCTGAGGGATTTCCTTGATTATTAATTGATGCATGGCGGTCCAGTCCACTGTGAGAAGCACAATGGTCCAGCCTACTGTAAGAAGCACCATTCTTTGGGCAGGAGGCTCTGGGCTGTATAAAACAGCTAGCTAGGGATAAGCCAGTGAACAAACCAGCAAGCAGTGATGCTCCATGGTTTCTGCGTCAAGCTCCTTGGCTTCCTGTCTTCAACCTCCGTCAATGGACTGTGACTTGGAAGTATTAGCCAAATAAACCCTTTCTTCCCCAAACTGCATTTGATCAGAGTGTTTTATCATAGCAACAGAATGAAACAAGAATACCATCTGACCCCTTCTTCTCCTTCATGGTTGAGCCCCCTTCTCACTGTGGTCTCCCTTCACCACCAGAGTTGATATTGTGACCTTTCCCAGCCTGCCTTGTCTCTACACAGCTCTGATCATTGTCTGATGTAGTCTATATTTTATGTATTTATAGGTTGTCCTTCTCCAAGACACAAACTCCATGAAGATGAGGATTTTTGTCTATCTTATTCATTATCATTGTTCCAGAGTATAGACTAGTCTCTACCCCTAGGAAACATGGTGCTGGCATTTGTGAGCCAGTGACTAAGAGGACAGGCATTGCCTTCTGTTCATAAGGACTCAGGATATTCACTAGACCCGGGCTCTGCTCTGCATTTGAAGCTGCCCAGAGGGGCTGTGTACTGTGTTCTCCAGGGAGGGCTGACAGCCAGAAAAACCGGGTTGGGGGAGTCTTTTAGGGGTGGTCATTGAACTTATGGTCTAAGGGATCATTTCTCTTTGGATTAGTATTTTAAGTATCCATCTGAGGAGGAGCTTTCCAGCAAATGTGCAGCCTCCAGTTCTTGAGAAAAAGGTCTGAGCCCCTCAGCTTTTGCTCCTCCTGCTGCCGATGTTATAAATTCCTGCATAAATCTGAAGAGAATGGGCAAGATGTTCAGCCTTGAAATACATTCTGTGATTTTCTTTTCCTCATGATTACTAATTAAATCTCGTCTATGAATCTGATTATATGAGGGTGAGCTTACAGACTGGCTGACAGTGAGAATGATGAGAGAGAGAGAAAGGGAGGAGAGA